CACAAAAAGAATCGCGTTATATATCGACTTTTTTTTATTTTATTCTCCTCTCGCTCTCAGGGATAAAAGATGACAGGTTTCATAGAATTAAAAGAAAAAAACCCGTTCGATATTTTATTTGACTAAACTACAAAACAGAAAACCGAGCAGGGGCTACACAGTAAATATTATGACAATAAACATATTATATTTTATTTATTGGACTAAATCTGTTCGGTGAAAGAAAGATTTATTTTATCATCGATAAATCGATATATACGACCATTGTTCATTTTCCATTCATGGGTATTACCTGAACTTCACTTTATATGCAACCCGGCTTTCTGATTTACTCGGAGTAAACACTCACAGAATTGACAAGAATTTGAACAAATTAACAATTAGGTTTTTATTCAATGATTAGGCAAATTATCCTGGATTTTATATCACCTTAAAGGCAATGATCCATGGCTATATACTAGATGTCAAAACTTTTCCAGTTTGTTTTGAAATATTACAATGTTGTGAGAGAGAGAGAGAGAGAGAGAGAGAGAGAGAGAAAGGGAGAGAGAGAAATGAGGTTTAACGTCCACTCGACACAAATTAGATCATTTTGGGACAAACACATGGTTCAATTTTATTTCAATAATTCGCTTGCGCGTAGGGGTCTTTAGCAGTGGGAGGAAACCGGAGGATTCGGGGAAAACCCACGAGGCTGAACAGGCAACCCTACTCCTTGTCACGTACAACCGGGGAATCGAAACCACGCCAGGTGACTCAATGACAGACCTTATGGTATAGAGCTCACGTGTTAACAATTCGGCCATCCACCCCCCCCAACAATGTTGTACCGCACTACACACAATAAACAAGACAACCACTAACGCAGGGAGTGACTGAAACCTCACCACTGCTTTGGTTAGGTCTTTTGTGAGTGGGGGGGGGGCGTCAGGAGCGAGGGCGACCTTTGTAAAATAAAACGTCAAATAAACGACTAGTCGAAACGCCGACCAGCGGTAAACAAAAGTATTCCATAGACACCGAGACCGTAGAGCCGCTGTCTGGGCAAAATTTCCCTCACGGCACACTGTATGATGTATACCCGTCTTCATTAGCCCAGTCGGTGCACAACAGTTGGGGGCTAAAACCCATTTCATTTCTATAGACTAGCTCCTAACAAATCCATGCCGTACACATTATACCAAGGGGGTTGTGGTTCCGAATGGTTAGCGCGTGCGTGTTGTATCATAAGGTCTGTCATTGAGTCAACTGGCGTGGTTTCGACAAGCAGCAGGATCGCCTGTCAAACCTCGTGGGTTTTCTCCGGTTTCCTCCCACTACTAAAGACCCCCTACGCGCAAGAGAATTATTGAAATAAAATTGAACTATGTGTTATTCCCGAAATGGATTGTTTGTGTTGAGTGGATGTTAAACCCCATCTCTCTCTCCCTCTCTCTCTCTCTCTCTCTCTCCCTCCCTCCTCTCTCTCTCTCTCTCTCTCTCTCTCTCTTGGTAGACTGGTTTGTGTCGGGTGGACGTTAAACCCCATCTCTCTCTCCCTCCCTCTCTCTCTCCCTCTCTCTCTCTCTCTCCCTCCCTCCCTCCCTCTCTCTCTCTCTCTCTTGGTAGACTGGTTTGTGTCGGGTGGACGTTAAACCCCATCTCTCTCTCTCTCTCCCTCTCTCTCTCTCTCTCCCTCCCTCCCTCCCTCTCTCTCTCTCTCTCCCTCCCTCCCTCCCTCTCTCTCTCCCTCTCTCTCTCTTTTTCGTTTCTCTCTTGGTAGACTATTAGCATACTGTGACACTTACTTTAAACACATTGTTTAAACACCTTTTATAAAAATGTGACCATTACCAGAAATCAATGGTTATTTAGTTTTGAATAATAATTTCATCTGATCTATTGTAAATAATGGAGACTGAGTTATTAGGAATTATATTATTCGTGGAATTTATTTGACAATATATTGGGTATTAATGCACTGTATAGTTTTTCTGTTGTGGGTCGAATCTTTTCCCATTATTCTTTGATGTAAATTTACAATATAAATAAAACGCCATTAACCTAATTATTGAAAATTAGAAATTATTTGGAATGATTCTGTTTCAGAAAATTCCGTGCGATTGTCTTATATAATTTGAAATAATATAATTGTGTGGTTGTTCATGTCAAACACTAGGCAAAACCTTAAGCCTTTTATGGACCTTTTGTCTTGTTAAATATAATGTTGTGCAACGATTATCTATGCGCAAGTGAATTATTGAAATTAAATTTTACTATATATAAGTAAGTCCCGAGCTGACCTAGTTTGTATCGGGTGGTCATTACCCCCCACCCCCCTCCTCGACCCCCTTTGCTGACATGGAGATGAATAAATCGTAAGTAGTAATGTATAAATATTGTTTAAACATCTTTCGATATATAAATACGTTCGGTCTATCTACTATCACAATAGTTTCATTGATGGACATTCAGGGAGAGAGAGAGAGGGAGAGAGAGAGAGAGGGCTAACGTCCGTCCACTCGACACAAACTAGGTCATTTCGGGACTAACACATGGTTCAATTTTATTTCAATAATTCGCTTGAGCGTAGGGGTTTTTAGCAGTGGGAGAAAACAGGAGGACCCGGGGAAAATCCACCGGGGAATCGAAACCACGCCAGTTGACTCAATGACAGACCTTATGATACAACGCACACGCGCTAACCATTGGGCCAGCCACCCCCTTTGAACATTTAGTAATTAAATATATTAACATAAATTATAATGACGATATTTCCTAATATACAAGGTTTAGATGAAGATAGCCTGCATTAAAGGCTCAATACCACTCTTATTGTAACTGAATAATATGTCCCAGTCTTTATTCTGGTCAACAAATTGTACTATTTTAGAATGTTTCAATTAATTGATGATACAAATTTCATCTTAACACACCTTATTTAAAAATTTTGAAAAATTCAACATAATGGTTTGAAACGTCTAACGTAAACCTTTTCAAATGAAACTTCGATTTAAAAATATTTTCGAACCCTCTGGACAAGTAAAATAGGATGTAATGGATAATTTACACAACAGGTAGGACACTTAAACATCTAGTACTTAGATAGAGATATTATTTATTTTCTGGAGCTTTCAAGCCAGCAAGAGTGTTATTGTCCCTTTAAGATTGATAAAGACGAGAGTATCCTCGTGTAAATATTGCACGTGCACGTATATACCATGACATCGTAATAAATCCAATAGTAGACCTGTTACAATATTATATGAAAAATCTTTCAGAGGCATTTAGTAACTGGATAGAGCAATACAATAACACCTTTGATCTTGTTGTTGTCCCGGATGGTTTCGTGAATTGTTCTTCTAGTTTCCCTCATAGCACACTTGTTTATTAGTCCAGTATAGGAGCAGAACAGTAGGACGTTAAACCCCATTTCATTTCATTTCTTATAGTTTTTCTGTATATATTGATCTCATTATTCTTGTATTACTGTATTAGCTTGATAACGTTGAGAGAATACTCATCGAAACGTCGCACAAATAAATTAAATAGCTGTTTTTCCATAGGGATGTGTTTTGTGTAATATTATTGGAATAATTTCCGAGTTTTATATTCAATTTTTTATTTCAAATACACCATTGAATTTTTACAACATTCGGGGAGGAGGTTGAGGGTGGTCTGAAAGTAGGATGTAAATTCAAGGGCACAGTAAGACATATTGTTGACATATCTCTCAAAAGTAAACAAAAAAAAATGTACTATTTTTATATAAACGTATTGTTATGCAAATCCGACTTCGTTATCTCGATCGGCGCATAAAAGCAGGACGTTAAACCCTATTTTCATTTCAATTATTATATGTAATTAAGGTATTTCTTTTATAAATCTTAACGAAGACTCGGGTTGCTTGTGCAAATAAGACCACAAGAATTATTATAACTATATTTATCTCAGACATATAAAGATGGCCATGTAATATCAGTAGAAACCATGGTAATGGTGATAACTTAAAATTGGAGTCATGTGATCTTTATATGATGCTCCTCCGTCTTCATTGTCCCAGTCGGTGCAGAAGAGTCGAACGTTAAACCCCATTTCATTCCATGTTTTTGCTGCTCCAGTTATAAGCTGAACTGCCGGATTTTGATTTTTTGTTTTATTTGTTTGTATCTTAGCAATGGTTTTACATGGAATACCAAATAACAAAGAATATAAACAATAAATGTTGATATAACTTAAATATATTTTTCACTCGAAATTCTTAAAATAAATGTACTTTTGATTGTGTACGATCGGGAACTCTATATTTAACTTTACCCTGACATGTTGGGGCTTTAAACTTTATATTTGTCATTTATTTTAGCATACGGGAGCTTTAAAATGACAGCAGTCGTATTATCTCTGGGCATCTGTAGTTGTAAAGCTGAAACTATAATCATTTCTCTTTGAGAGTAATTCACAATGTCAAAAAAATCAATGAAATTGATTTTTAAAATATTTCTACTTTTTACAAAAAAATTAATTTAGAAAATAGTTGATTGATTTTAATGATATGGCAAGGCTTTCTCTCGACAAATGACGTCACCGGCTCGATCTATTAAAATAAAGAGTTTTTTAAGGATTTTTCCTGACAGTGAAAACTCGACGTGATGAAAAGTTGACAGTAAGAAACAAAACTCGAGACATGATAACTTCCATCTTTAATATCAGTCTTTTAATCCTGAACATGAGTTACTCGCGTAGGCTGTCAGTCTCCATGTTTAAAGCTTGAGTGAGCCTGTTTCGAGCAGACGACACAACTCACTCGTAGACAGCCAAACTGACAGATGCTTCAACGAATAATCTCTACTCTGTCAATCAAACAAAAAGCTAACGTCTCTGATTGGCTACTGTCAATTTGAGCCACGCCTCCCATGAAGACTCAAGCGGCCATCAGTAGAAAGCGACCAATCACGTCCCTCGCTTTCCCATATTGTCGTTATAGAAGCATTGAATGTCAGTTGCTTCATAAAAGTTTTTAAGTGTGGTGCGTGTAGGATCAAGAGAAACCGTTAGCTCTTCTCCACTGTTATACACGTGCGTTACAGTTCACAATTTACCGTGAAACGATTCCGTGTCTGGAATAATCATGACCGCGGACTCCCAACCCCAGCCCCCCGCAAGTAAGTACTACAATTTTCACATACCTAATTTTTACCGATTGTCTCGACAACGGTCATTAGGGTTAATTTTCTTCGACGTATGATGGCACTGTCAATGACATGGCATAACATTAATGACAGGTCAATGTAAACATGACATTTTAAATTTTTATTGTCGATTATCAAGTGTTGTCTAAAGTTTATTTTTCTATTGTATATTTTTATTTTAGAGAAGCCGAGAAGAACATCGGTGTGTGTCGGCTGTGGATCGAATATCCACGATCAGTTTATTTTACGTGTGGCTCCGGACTTAGAGTGGCACGCGTCGTGTCTTAAATGCGCCGATTGTAACCAATATTTGGATGAAAGTTGCACATGTTTTGTACGTGACGGAAAGACATATTGTAAACGAGATTACGTCAGGTAAGACAAGTGAATGTTATGTTTTGTTTTTGTAATTATGATATTATTATTGTAAATTTGGCGGTTCTGAACCACCGCGCTTAATTATTGTATGTGTTAGTCTCATATGAACCACTGCGCTTAATTATTGTATGTGTTAGTCTCATGTGAACCATCGCGCTTAATTATTGTATGTGTTAGTCTCGAATAGTCCGTGTTAAATTCTATACCTTCCCATAACGCTAACAAATACACAAACATCCAATATGTAGTATAGCTAGCGTATTTCAACAACTTTAATTGTAATATTTAAATAATGCGTTTAATAGAACGCTTCATCACATATTCAAGTATCGCATTAATATAAACCATTGTAGTTACAAATTAGAACATTGAATTAAACATATCGCAATATTAACCATATTAGTAGGACGTTAAACCCCATTTCATCAACCATGTTAGTGCATAATGTAATTCTATTTATATTTTCATTCCAATACTCATATATGGTAATTACTACATAATATACCATGGTTCCTGAAGCATATACTATTTAGATATTTATATACCTTAATATTTAAAATTGGCGCAATGTGAATAAATATGTATTCAAATTTTTAATAGAATACTTATTATATATCATCCCTGCCCAAATGAATTAATGTTTATTAAAGATATCGCCGAGAGGGTTAATACGTAATGTAATATACTATGTGTATAATATAAATACAAAATATGTATTTTATAGTAGCGTTAATATTCTCATTTCATTACATAGTTTACTAAATGGTAGGCGTATATTGACTATATTGCACAGATATATTGTAATATCGCATAGTATTTAATACGTCATATACGACTGGATATAATATCATAACATTTAAAACTTATAAGTATATTGACTGTAATGCACAGTTTTTGATTCAGATATACAGTAGTATCGCATCGTATTTATTACGTTTATACAATGTCAAATACAATTTAATATAATATAATTTACATAGCATTACACATTAATATACCACTTTATTTTCAACATATATTACGCATGACGTAGACTTGAATATGTATATTTATTTATACGACAATAATCACCCAATGTTGGTGTAAATACATTATATTAAATATATTGCAATGTTTCATTCAGCGACAAAGCAAGTCCTCAACTCGATGAAATATAATTTAAATATGTCTTCGCTGTAGTGACTTAATATTCAGTATTTGTTTTAAATAAACAGTTGGACCGTTATATTCGTAGAAAATACAGAAACTCAATTAAAAAGAATATGCGACCACTATTATCTTGGTATATATATATGTATATATATCGTTGATCAAAGTGTTCGATTAAGGGACAGGACGGAGCAGGGCCCCCCTTTTATAAAAACGAAAACCTGACATAAATATATTGAAGATATTTGTGAACTAAGACATTGTTGTGTACCCACGAGAGGAAGGGCTATAACGGGATAGTGTTGATTTCTTCAAGTAGTAATGTCCGTGTGTTGTCGAATGATAAAGATTTCTCTTAAACTCACCTCTTAATCGTCGGAAATTATACAACTTTATCATAGATGTCTGAGATATATTTAAGTTCATATAGTTGATCAGATATATTTATATTTAAGTTCTAATTGTTCATGAAGAATATTTACAATACTTAGAGATAATAATGTCATTTTATATGTAGATTGTCTGAAATTATGATCATACTTATATTATACAGTCAGGCTGTTAATAAGCTGTGGGGGTGGGGGTGGGGAGTAAATAAAGCTATTATTTCAAAGATAATTATAACAAAATCAAGAGTAGGAATAAATATATAGTATAATCCTTCTAATGACTTTAAACACGATAAAATAATATTGCATCCATTTGTGAATATTTTAAATTATCGCCTCGGTTCCTCAAACATCGTTTTTATTATTGTATAAAACCCACCAAACTAAAGATGGAACTAATTTGAACCTGATAACCCTTCATTTAATCAAATACAACACAGAAATCTTTTTTTATTTAAATAGTAAATTAATTTATTATTATTGACAAAGATTAGTTTCGCAATTATATTTCTGTAATATTTTTCACCAGTAGATTATATTTGTTTTATTTTGATATTTCCTGATCTTGTTTTCTTGTGATTAGTCCGGTTTATTGTGATATTGGATTAAATTATGATTATTGTGGTGACTGAATCAACATACAATGACGTTATACTTGATACATTTTTAACGTAGGCGTGGCTAATAAAGACGTGCAAACGCCATGCAGTGTGCTGTCAGGGTAATTTTGCCTGGGCAGCGGCATTTAGCCTTGTCTGTCAAGGAACAGCGTCTAGTCGCTCGGAAGAGACGAGAAACCGCAAGGTGTGGTGTACATACTGGTATGCACGTATAAGAATCATTGACAGTTATTTATAATTCGGTGAAGAGGAAGTCCGGACTCCATTTCCCCTCATAGTACACCATCACACTGCATGGCGTATATACTCGCCCTTGTTGAACATAATTCATCATTCAATAAATATAATATTTGCCTTTCTTTGAACATTGGTCAACTTTTTAGAATATCAGAATAGTGGCGATAAAATAAAATATGTGAAAATACCTGTCTGTTGGGACATTAACGTGTAGATATAAAACTAGAATCAGCATCATGTCTGTAATTTTAACTCAAGGTCAGAGATTTGTTACAGGACGTAAAATACATCTGTTACTAAATATCCGCGATGTCGTGGTTTTGAAACTCGAGGTATGTAAATGTCCTCGATGTCGTGGTTTTGAAACTCGAGGTATGTAAATGTCCTCGATGTCGTGGTTTTGAAACTCGACGTATGAAAATATCCGCGATGTCGTTGTTTTTAAACTGGACGTGTAAAAATATCCGCGATGTCTTGGTTTTGAAACTCGACGTATGTAAATGTCCTCGATGTCTTGGATTTGAAACTCGACGTATGAAAATATCCGCGATGTCGTTGTTTTTAAACTGGACGTGTAAAAATATCCGCGATGTCGTGGTTTTGAAACTCGACGTATGTAAATGTCCACGATGTCTTGTTTTTAAAACTCGACGTATGAAAATATCCGCGATGTCGCGGTTTCGAAACTATAAACGAATGGAAATAATTGCGATGTCGTGATTTTGGAACTGGACGTAAAGTAAATGCATGGTATGTTGAGAGTTTTAAGGTGATCGACCAATATTACTACCATGTTCCCGAAGCAACGTTCATGAATTTTACAACATCTAGATGTACGGAGTTTTAAATCGAGATGAAGCCTTCTATTAAAGGTGGTTTTCTACCAACCCCATCTGTCCACTGTAAACTGATACACCACCACACGGCAGGGCGGTCCACTCATCTTTTATAAGTCAAATCACCGCCTGTGAACATATTGTACACGGAACAAATTGATTTCAATCGGCAATTTTCTCCTATGAATGATTCGAGGAAACTTGATTTAAGTTGGACAATGATGGACGTAATTTAATTATGGTTTATTTTTGACGCCTCGAACACACAAAGATGGAAGTAGAGATTCACCGGGTTCGTACACTAAACGCGTTCGTTCTGTGCATGTTTTGGTCAATGTACCCGGAGTAGTAACAGTAGTTTTATAATTATCTGTAAATCATTAATTACTGTTAAATCGCAGTGGTCGGAAGTCGACCTGCGTTCGCGGGGAATCGCAGTAGATTATAATTCCGCTTTGTTAAATCCGAATGGACGGAAGTCGGTACACACATACCAAAAAACGTAAAGCCAACAGAAGAGAGAGGAATTTTTTTATATTAGGACCAATCGTATGAATTTAAATACTCATTCCAACTACACAACCGAACCTAAATAGAATAGACAATACAGTAAAGGTCGTAGAATAAAATACACCATACAAAACTACATTATGAAACCTAAACATCAAAAATCGAAAAATATATAATGAAAATGTAGCTATGTCCATTGGAATTAATAAAAAGACCATACGTTCGTTTCGTTTCATTTTTACAGTGAACCTTCACAATTACAAAATTGCATGTAATATAGGCCAATAAAATTATAAATACCGAAACGAAATATAAAACTGATTTAAATTAAATTAAAATGTCGGATCAAGTTATTTAGTTGCCAATATTTATCTCGTAATCTATAACACATACTTATGGAAAACAGGTACTAATATTTCTGGGCGACGTTTCGAAGGCTGTTCTTCATTGATAATTAAAATATACCAAAGCGTTGTGTATTATGTGTGATTTGCTCACATACTCAAGGAAAACAGCTACTCTGTTATTTAAGCGATGTTTCGAAGAGTATTCCCTAAAACATTGATAATATATCAATAAGTGGTATGAGGTGTTATAAAACAAGGATATCCTGCATCGTGCACAGCACATATCATTTATCTCAGACGACCACATTGTCCATTGGTATACAGATCACGGGTTATAAAACATAATTGTCAATTCATGGTGATTTAATTTTATAGATAATAATATAATATTTACTTGAGAAGAAATCGAGAATCATGTTGACCATAATGATATTTACTGGACACTCCTAACAACAAACAAAAAATAAATGACGAATTATATCGTATTATTCAAACTAACTCGTCTTTCTTATAAATGTTCGATTAACCCTGCTCATCATTAGGTCATCTTGAGACTATCAAATTTTCGTTAGCTTGCCTAACCTCATGGGTTTTCCCCGGGTTCTCCGGTTTCATCCCACTGTTAATGAGCCCTACGCACAATTTTACTATACCTTAGTCTCGAAATGACATAGTTTGTGTTATGTGGACGTTAAACTCCGTTTCTTTCTCTGTTTATTAAATATGTTTTGAATATCCATAACATAGTTTAGTCGACACGCCTTCAACATACCAGAGAGAACATTATATATACGCTGTATTATATACGCTATATTACATAAACTTATAACTTACAGAACTCCATTGCTCTATTCACCAGAAAGTTTTCATGGATATCAAACAGAGTTTAACGCATCAGCGTCAACTGGGCTAATGAAGACGGGAGGTCGTTTGGAAACTGACAATTTTTTTTTTTTTTTCAATTCCGTTTTATTAAAGATAGAAGCTCTTCTTATTCGCGTTTTCTAATTTGTGATTATTAATCAATTTACAGTTTGCCAATTTTAATTAAATATAATTTCTGTGTTAAATGTTTGTCATGCGTCAACTCTTCATAGTTCATTTTACGACTAACAGATTGATTTTTGTTATACCAGGTCAAAAATAGAAAATGTATGTTTCAAATTTATTTTCTTTACTTATGCTAATTTAAATTTATATAGCGCAATAAATACTCGTATTGGGAGTTCCAAATTCGTTTGCAAAGTTCTACATTTTGGTTCCATTTCAACCATAGTGTTGTATAAACAGGTGATTTTTCAGTCTTGTTTTGAAAATGTAGATGGACTTTGTTTCTTTTATATATGATTACTATAATATTAAATCCCCATTTTTTTCTTTTCAGATTATTTGGTACAAAATGTTCAAAATGCAGTCAGGGGTTTAGTAAGAGTGATTTTGTAATGAGAGCGCGAGGACAGGTATATCACATAGACTGTTTTAGATGTGTCGCGTGCAGTCGACAACTTATACCTGGCGATGAATTCGCTTTACGTGAAGACGGACTATTCTGTAAAGATGACCACGATGTTGTGGAAAAGGCCGGATGTGAATCGCCCATTTCTGTAAATAATAACAATAACAATAATAACGAGAAAAAATTCAATAAAAACAAACACGGGGATGAACACGTGGATATCCAATTAGCAGGTAAGTGGCTTTATTTATTTATTTATTTATTTATTTATTTATTTATTTTCTTGTCAAAATACATTTCATTTGGTTTAAGTTAGATTTCAAAAAGAATTTTTGTTAAAATTAGTGCAGGTATATAAATATATGTGGGTCAGATTAATTATTCCTTGTCACGTGGAATTAATCTCCTTTTTCTATCCCCGAGACTTGTGTGTCGTCTCTTTGTTTGTCGTAAAAGAACTAAACGAACAGTTAATTTAAAGTGCCGCTCCACTTTATTATTATCGATCATTTGTTTTAAAGTAAATCGCGATTGTCTTTTTTTTTTTAAATCTAACAATTATAGACTCCTATTAAAAATGTAGCAATAGCATTTTGATTTCTATATAATAAACATTAAAGAAAAAACAGATATTTAGTATTTTTTTCTAATGTAGCCCGACCTTTAAAATAAAACAATCTTAAATATATTGATCTATCAAAGAAGAATATTGTCTTCTTATCAATAAAATAAACAATGCCAGTCCTTAAATGTTATTGTTCTTGTATAAAGAAATCTGAGGAATAAGGAGAAGTAGTATAGAAGAGATACAATTATCATAAGAAAACAGCGGGTCGGCCATACTTCTAACAATAAACTCTTTCTTAAACAATTATATTGTACCATGCAGTGATAAACTGGTCGTTTTACGATATTTATTGACCTCCTAGTCTTCATTATGAACAATAAAAGATATGATATAAATCGTTATGTAAAAACGACGATGTTTCTACTACGAATTAACAATACTGTTATAATATGTATTTAGAACCGATCTATGTCCATGTCGAATTTGGTTTTAAACCTTATTTTGAACTTTATGGCGTTATTTTTATAGAATTGAATGTTATGAAATTATCCTAGTCGTTAATTTTATCGACGTTATTTTTACTCTTAAATGTTTGTCGATATTTTAACGTTATGGCGTTATTGTGACCGTTAATTTTGGTGACGTTATTTTTATTAAACGTTTCTCGATATTTTAACGTTATCGCGACCATTATTATAGTGACGTTATTTTTATTAAACGTTTGTCGATATTTTAACGTTGTGACATTATCGCGACTGTTAACTTTAGTGACGTTATTTTTATTAAACGTTTTCCGATATTTTAACGTTATAGCGTTATTACGACCATTAATTTTAGTTACGTTATTTCAACCCTTAAACTTTCCTCATTATTTTATGACGTTATCTCGACAATTAACATTAGAGACCGGGGTTCTTTTTAATCCCCAAACGCCTCTCAATTGTCAATAGTCATGTAGGTTGGTTAGTTTTATTATTTCTATTAAATTTATTTTCAAAATATCAATCAACGAACGAAATTAATTAACTGACTCGGGTTACAATTATCAGAAATAAATATAGTCATTTATTAGAATCATTAAAGTATACAGGAAACTATAATCAAATGTAATTGTTCAAATTATTCCTGGATATAAATCGATGATGTTAAATGGTCATACCTGTATAATTTATTGGTGATCAATAATCAATGTATGATTATATTAGGCTATAATTACCACAACTAATTTATATCTGGTGTATAAGAAATGAAATGGGGTTTAACATCCTACTTTCCTGCATTAACCGTCATCATTACGAGTCGAAGACTATACGCGTACCGTGTGATTTTTAATTTAGAGTAATTTTTATGTTTCATTTTATGAATTAGAAACACGACCCCGTATGTCTTTTATATGAATCATATAGGAAAGAATATCGAATACTTGACCCAAGAACAAAAATTGATATTCAAGCCAGCTTCCTCTGAAATATATCGCTATATTGATCATCAAGACGAATTGTTTCTCTGACTTCCATGTAAAAGTGCAACATCAATTGTTACCCTTATAACAATCAATGGCGACATAGAATTGTTACCCTTATAACAATGGCGACATAGAATTGTAACAATGTCGACATTCTATAATTGAACTGAAAGGATACACACACGACACAACAATTGTATGGAGAGTGTATTTTACCGTTTTATTCTGATACAATTGTTGGATAACGAGTAGAGAAATCTAGTAGAAACGTCGCAGAGTAATAAACAGCACTTCCGTTTAATTCTGATATAATTGTTGGATAAAGACTCGAGCAATCTAGTAGAAACGTCGCTCATTATAAACAGTATGTATATCATTTGTTGGCTTTATAAACAAAATTAATTAACTAATTTACTTAATTAATGATTCATAAACTTAGTCAAGCAGTGCACCAGGTATGAGAAATATTTTGTGTGCGTTTAGACGAAACATACGGTTGATTTTAATCAATAATAAAATCCCTTGAGAAAATCAATTTGTTCTCATATGTTTAATATCACATTTCAAGATTTAACACGATATCCAGTTTGTACGAATGAGGAGAATTTTGCCCGAGCAGTGACGTCTTTGCAATCCCAATCACACTTCAGGCTTTATATAAAATCCATGCACAAAAGTTAAACGTTTTCGTAACCAAACAAGTTTTACAAAACCTTCAAACAGTAAACAGAAACGATAAAATTTGCTCCCCCAAGGACATGACTTAAAAAAAAGAACAACGTATATAAACCGCTATTTAATTTTAAAACAAAATAAATTTAATCTGATATAAAAAACCACTTTAATTGTAAGATATATAAAATAAATAAAACCAATAATCTGTGAACACATGAAGGATGATTATTCTCAACTATTAAAACAACATCTTACAAATTATTAATAACTTTATCTACGAATGGTCAAAACGTCAAAGAGATTATTTGCTAGAAATTATCAATATTTGATATGGGGTTGATTAGAGTTAATGTTTTAATGAGCGGCTACTCAAGTGGTCAGTGCTGATGGTCGGTGTCTTTTAGATATATCCTACATCAAACGCTACCGTCTCCAGATAAATTAAATGATATTTCAAATGGTGTTTTTACGATGATATGGGTTGTGTTCACGACAACAGCAGCAACTCGATGGCGTGTAATCGTATAACAGTAAATATTTCTCCAATCAAATTGTTATCTTATAAATCTGAATTAACATTTGCTCTAAACATCATATGACGAAGCTAATCAGCGCCCTAATTAAATTAAGCGTTTCTGGGGTTCTTGAGGCTTTGTAACGGAGCGAGAAGTTCGGCTCATGATGCGTATTTCATGATATTAGCCTGGACAGAATTACCCGAACATCGTAACATAATTCCCGAAACACGTGCCTCGGACAAAGCATTCGAAGATTAATACGATTGATGTGATTGTCTGGTTGTGGATTTCTATTCTTGTAGATCTAATACCAGGAATCGAGGACACCCGATACTCACACCGACATTCTCCTCAACCCTCACATAAATTTGTTTAAGTTTAGAAATTAATTTGAACGCGTTACTGTACAAACTCTCCTCTAACTGATATCAGCCAGGCGAGGTTTGTGTACGCGTTTACTGAACGCATAATGAATTTAGTCACAAGGGAAAATACGAATTAGAGCAGTCGTGTATGGTGTCGAGTTTTGTTCAATGGTTCGATTCCAGTCGACCTTTAACGCGCATGCAGACAAACAATGCCCCAAGTACTATTAAACAAAGATCGAATAATTTTGTCTTTGTCGGCTGGGACCATAGCGCCATAGTTTTGTGATAATTAGTGGCGAAGCGTGCGGTAGACGTGAGTTGTTATATTTTGGTTTTGTTAGAACTGTAGAAACAACTGAAACAATTCGTGATCTGGCCACGCTCTTTAATCTCGTCAATCGAATTGTTTCATTGATTGTCTTGTTGCTAGAAATCTTTGTAGTATTCTATGTGGAACCGAGATGTAGCCAGATATTTGACGTCTCATTCAGAGAGAAATTCATAACGTGTCTATCATCTTTGGGTTCACGATGTACCGAAATGAGTAAATTGACATGGTCCATATATGGTCGGGGGGTTGGATGGCTGAATGGTTGGCGTGCGCGCGCTGTATCATAAAGTCTGTCATTGAGTCGACTGGCGTGGTTTCGAATCCACGGTTGTACGTGACAAGGAGTAGGGTCGCCTGTCCAACCTCGTGGGTTTTCTCCGGGTCCTCCGGTTTCCTCCCACTGCTAAAGACCCCTATGCGCAAGCGAATTATTGAAATAAAAGTAAACCATATGTTAGTCCCGAAATGACCTAGTTGTTTCGAGTGGACGTTAAACCCCATTTCTCTCTCTCTCTCTCCATATATTGTCGCCACGTTTACCGGATCGGACAATAAGTTTCTTGTTATACATTTGAATAAAATATTCTTTTAACATGAACCAAGTACAGAGCGCCATGTTTTTGTTGCGTTCTAAATGATGTTAATTGTATTAACAGCCATTGTCATAGCTCTTAGTACAAATTGGGAGATTAAATCCCCCACCCCACCCCTCTCTACCCGAATTAATACAAACTAGGTATTTAAAACACGAAGAAAATCTCTGCCACACCCACCCCACCCCATCTCTGCTTCTCCTTAAATACAAATTGGATATTTAAAACAGAAAGTTAATTGACCCCGATAAATTCAAACGATCAACGTATATTGATCACATTACATATATATCACATTACGTATATATCATATTACATATGCTGTATATCACATTACATACACATATATATCACATTACATACAGGTTGACGTTACATCTTGTCAACTTGATTTTATGTTTAAACAAGTACAGGTACTTGAGTGAAACTTGATGTTTGTCTCCAGGTAAAACCAGAACACCTGTTAATAAAACTATTGTCAACATATTCAATCAAGCACGACACTCTAGGTAACTCTACAGCAGTTTCTTAAAGTTCGTTTCTTTTCTTTCTATAGGTTTTTTGTTTTTAGTTTAAACGTTTTGTATTGAGTCAACAAAAATAAATTTTGATAAAATGGATTAAACTAGAGTTATTAAAAACTTGCAAAACGTCCTTACATAATCAGAATTTATATAGATATATAGAGAATCTCCTACCCGTCTTTTTTGATATCAAAAAATATCAACACAAGTCGATAAAGTAAAAAAAAACGAGTCTCTGCCAATTCTTTTTACTTTATCGACGTGTTGATATTTTTTGATATCAAAAAAGAAGAGTAGGAGATTTTATTTATCACCAAATCCTTTCTTACACGCACAAATAAATAAATATAATTCTTTGCTAAAGATTTCACTTTTACTGAACCTGATTATATTAAGGCGTAGTGATACAATATTTTTTGACAACAATTCAACCATTGCAAAGTCCTTTATATTGACCTAGTGTTTCCATCAAGGTCAATTAAATAAAAATAGTTCATTTTTTATAAAAAAAAAAAGTTCATTTTAATAAAAAAAAAGTTAATTTTTAATAAAAAAAAGTTCATTTTGAATAAAAAAAAAAAAATAAGTTACTTTTAATAAAAGAAAAATGAAATGTTGTTTGAAAATATAAAAAGTAGTTCCTTTTTAACTAACCAATCAAATTCATGTATCGCAGTAGATTATAAAATTTATCACACAAGCGATATCTACTGTAGAATGTATTTAGTCCATGAGTCGTTGCAGAAAAGTAAGACATTCAACCTCCATTTTATTTATGTGTCGAGTGGACGTTAAACCCCATCTCTCTCTCTCTCCCCCATTTAATGGTAAACAGTTATTATTATTAGTGAATATTTATGTGTCGAGTGGACGTTAAACCCCATCTCTCTCTCTCCCCCATTTAATGGTAAACAGTTATTATTATTAGTGAATATTTATGTTAAATAACGGACAGAGAATCTGATAATTAATGATAATATTGTAGATTGTTATTATAATTGACATGTTGCTAAAACAAAGACAATCAGAAATTCTCAATAACACTAAATATCTTTGAGGAAATTCCAGAAAATTTAGCTTGTTTATCTAATCTGCGAATTTGTGTTTTCAGAAAATATACCGCGTTTTATTGAATTTCGTATAATCGATATTGGAATCACGGCCTTTTGCTTATCACAAAAAAAAAGATATTATAAAAAAAGCCACACCGCCGTGCCGTGAGTTCGTTAAGTAAGGTTGACGTCACGTCACTTATGTTAAATGAAACGGAACACGTCACTTATGTTAAATTAAACAGAACACGTCACTTATGTTCAATTAAACAGAACACGTCACTTATGTTCAATTAAAACGATATTCGAATTTCAGAAAAGATCTGTTCTGATCATAAAGATTTCCTTTAAGTCAAACTTCTTGCTTTGGTGTTGATTAATTAGTTAAACGACTGCGGGGATGCGAGGATGCGAAAAGCACAAACTAAACGTAACACATCAATGACCCCTGTAAAAAATCTAAAACAAATGTCGTTACCAAATACTAACATGATCGTCGAGCACTTAGGGCAACCACAAAAGCAACAATTATATTAGATTCCTACTTATTTTAGTTTAATTTGTTATTTTAGGGCGACCAGAAAAAACTGGCACCAAAACCCGACCCCAAGTTCACAAATCAGCGGAACATAAAACAACAAGGGTACGAACTGTCCTGAATGAGAAACAACTACACACGTTACGAACTTGTTATAACGCCAATCCACGACCGGATGCCCTAATGAAGGAACAGATGACGGAGATGACCGGATTAAGTCCAAGAGTTATCCGTGTCTGGTTCCAGAACAAAAGGTGCAAAGACAAAAAACGAAGCATCTTTATGAAACAGTTACATCAACAACAACACGAAAAGGTAAGATCTTTTTAAAATAATTATAATTTTTGATATTATTGTGGTTTGTTACCCCGAAAACGAAAAAGTGCACGTAGTATCACCAACATTTTCATGGAAACATCTGATACTTTGGTATGTTACCCAGAAACATTTCAGATGCTGTCACGCAACATTGTCTTGGCAACGAATACTAGTTTTGGTATGTTATTTTCAGAAAGTTAAGGTGCTATCACACAACACTGTCACTTTGTCATGGCAACGCGTGCTATTTTTGGTATGTTACTTTCAGAAAGTTAAGGTGCTATCATTGTTACTTTGTCATGGCAACGCCTGGTATTTTCAGAAAGTTCAGGTACTATGACACGACACGGTCAATCTGTATAACATGTTCTTGGGACTTTCATACCGTTTTAGGATCCGTGATGCTGTATCTCTCCTTTTTTATGGATATTCTATCCTATAATTCCCTTCCATGTCCATGTTTATAAGTAAGAAATAAATTGTTGCTTCTCATTTTCCCCCAAAAACCCGTTACTTGCTCAGGAGAACAATCTTCGGTTAAATCATGAAATCACAAATTCTTAGTTTACTCATTTTCTTCTATATAAATCCATCTTTTGACAATAAAAATAAACTAGTTTCGGTTGATCATATATCCATGTAAACATCCAAAATCGAGGTCAACTTATGTCTTCTGACTCAATTTTCTTTGTCCAAGGTTCAAAATAAGTTCAGTAGACTTAGGAAAACAAAGACGTCGATTTTTTGTCTTTCAAAAACCTTGTCTAATTTAGAATCAATCATCTTGAAAACTGTGCCAGGTTTTTTTTTATATAATGATAATATTTACAAATCGACTGTGAACTCTTCCGTTTGTTGCTAGAATACCGTAACCATTGTCTGTAAAGGTAGTTTAAAATACACGCCATTAAACAATTGCATCAAGTGTTTCCCCGCCATCTTAAGATGTCTTCAACAACATAAAAATTATGTGTGTTAAATTGAATGAAATCTGATTCCAGATAGGTTTTATATTTGGCAGCTTGCTACTTTTGTTTTAAGTCCAGTTTTTATTAGGTAGATACTGACAAATCAAAACATATCTTAGTAAAAGTGCAGAATATTGACCTATCAAAACATCTCATAGTAAAAGTACAAAATACTGACCTATCAAACAGTCCCATAGTAAAAGTACAGAATACTGACATCTCATAGTAACATCTCATAGTAAAAGTACAAAATACTGACCTATCAAACAGTCCCATAGTAAAAGTACAGAATACTGACCACTCACACACACACATTCTAAAAGTACACAATGCTGACCAATCAGATACATCCATACTAAAAGTACAGAATACTGACCAATCACACACCCGTATAATAAAAGTTCAAATGGCGACTGCTAGTAAAAGTACAAGAGACTATAGTAATAACAGACTAATGTAGGTTATTCTACTACTTACCTATATAAGATGTTATTATTTCCCACATATATTCAATACCATATACTTCACCACAGTTTTACAAATGTTTATATTCCCAGTAATCGACGTGGACATTATCACCCAATAATAACACGAGTAACTCACAATACGGTTTCACCTTTGAAATTTGTTTTATTGAGTTTAGTAAGTGGTAGTTTCACTATCTGATATCAAAACACGAGTAACCCACAATCTCTTTTGAAATGTTTTTTATTGAGTTTAGTAAGTGGTAGCTTCGGTATCTGAAATCAAAACACGAGTAACCCACAATACGGTTTCTGTTTTGTAATTTGATTTATTCAGTTTAGTAACAAGTGGTTTCGGTATCTGAAATCAAAAGAAAGGTTTCGGGGTTGAATTCGTCCATTGTATGTGTGATTATTTCTGGCGACGTTTCGATGAGGATTCTCTTGTCTTTATCAAACAAATATAGATAGATTTGGGATTGGTACAAATAAAATAAAAAAACCTTGATTATTTGTTCTGCGAAGAAAACCTTCGTTTCGTTTTTGTTTATCACATAGTAATATTTTGAACAAATGCTATATTTCTACATCAGGCAGTTAATACAGTGTAAAAAATTAAGAACATTTCAAAAATTCGACCAGAAAAGAATTAATGAAATTAAAAGACTTGTTTTGGGAATATTGTATTAAAAAAGATTAAAAATACACCTTCTTTCTTTTTTATCATAAAATAAATCCGTTTTCAAAAATATTTGAAAATTTTGCCGACAACAAATTTTCCCAACCATGTGAGTTAGGTTAAGAATGATAAGCGTATATTAAATAAGATAAGAACAGGACCACATACTGAACATTGTATATCTGATAATAAACCCCTGCTGTATATCACCGACCTTTTTAAATTAAAATATTAAAATTTGATTTAATTTAATATTTCTTTATGAAATATCTATGGAGCTGCTTGTGAACTTTGATCTCTAACTCTTTCTCGGGCAGTAATTACTGAAGATTGTAAACTGCTTTCGGGAATATTTCTGAAATGAATTACTTCTTGAGAGTAATTTTGATATGGTAAAATTGGTCACGATCTGTGATGTGGAAACTTTGTTTTTTAATCAAAAATGCACACGTACACGTGTATTTATGGTGTATACGATATATTTGATTAAAAATGCTTTCCGTCGGTTTTGATAATTCATTATGTATGAATTTCTGTTCTTTTTCGATAATAATAGTTAAAGTTACCCCACCGATAAAATTTGAAACTTTCATCGGAAGAAACGTCCCATAAATCGCCCCATCTTCATGAGCCCGGTTGGTGCAGAACTCCATTTCATTTCATTTCCTAGAAATATTTTCTATTACAAGATTTGGAGAATATTTAATAATTTTCAGCTCCGTTTTATCCTCGCGTCAATACGTTTGTGTATTTATAAGTCAAGTAAAACGATGAATTTTAAATGAGTTTTATTTTATCTGTGGTATATCTGGCTATATACCATGGTTTCTAATCTTGTCTTTACCCAGCTGTGTATCGGTCTCTTGTCGTTTCCCTATCTTTACATCTCACATTCTTCTCGCTGTCTGTACAGTCGATAACTTCTCCCAGCCTCCCCATTTCCCGGATCATAAAGTCTTCTTTATCCAGACATAATATACACACGATGTATTTTGTAATAATTCCAACTTTTGTTTAGATACATTTAATATTGGTACGTGGTCATCCAGACTTTCTCCCAGCTCTCCATTCTCCAGATCCTAGACTATAGCCTTCTTTACCCAGTCACTATTCGTACAAGCAATATTTTGTAGTCCTACTGTTCTGCTCCGACTGGGCTAATAAAGACGGCCATACGCCATACAGTGTACTAGAGGGAAATTTTGCCCGGACAGCGGCACTACGGCCTACTCTTATATCGAATTCCAACTGTTAGATCTTTTACGTGCACGCAAATCTGTACACGGGACCTCGGTTTTTCGTCCCATCCGAACGACTAGACATCCGTTCTTGTCTGTCCCGCCGTCCTGCACCAGTGACAAAGGGGGAAAGAGAAAGCTTGTTTGCATGTTTGTTTGTTGGTTGCAGGAGGCCCACAGATTGACCAGATAAAATTTAAAAATAACGTATTTACTGTTTTTATTTAGTTTGTATTATATCAAGTATTTAATGACGTAATTAACCATCAATGATTGTTGCGCTATTAGGCAAATTTAACGCCGAGGAAATGAACTAGTTTTTTTATAAAATAGTACGAACCATGTAGAACGACCCTTTCTAGCATAGCAGATACCTTCGCTAACAATTCTTTATGCCACTGTTCTAAATTACGACGAACTTACCAAGATCTCCTCAGTCTACTGCTGTCGATTAAGGACCGTATGAGAATGTTTGGTACCAAGATCTCCTCAGTCTACTGTTGTCGGTTAAGGACCGTATGAGAATGTTTGTTATCAAGATTCTAATTGGTTAATAATTGTATTTAATATAAGGATGTTTTCATTGAGATGACTTCCTGTTTTCTAATCTTGTTCGATATTCATTAAAATTCCATTTGAGGAAAAACATTCATTGATTTTGTTTGTTGTGTTTAGCTGATTGTTTTAAATAGAGCTACAATGCGCAGGTCAAACCTCATTTTTAATCGCTTTACTAAAAGTTCCTAGTGTTCTACCACAGATAGCAATATGACGAGCTTGCTTTCAGAGGAAACTTAAAACCAGTGAATGTTCTATTTCCCAAATGGGATTTGGACGATCCTGAAGATCATTCCAGATATAAGTTGTATCTGTTAAAGCACGTGACTATAAATATCAATACTATTATACTATATATACCATACTTTGTTTACGTCATTTAAACGCGTGACCAAATACTAGTATGAAGACGCGTAACATTAAGGACGCAGTTTGAGAAATATATTGGTTTTTGTATTTGTACGCTAGGATAAGATATATTTAAATAGTTTAATTCTCTCATATTTTTTACAATCTTAAAATACATCTAGATTAAATATTAAATTAAAACAAAATCGGAAGAAGAAAAAAAATGGATAATTTGTACTGCTTAAAAAGTCTGGAGATACGCGACTCCATTCCTGAATCGCACCCCGCGGATATATAACGATATATCGTGGAGTGAATCGCAACCTTTTTTTATCGTGTTTAAAGTAAAAAGAAATATTCTACATTCTGTAATCAGCGAGATATCATGCTATTTAATATGATATAAAAAAAACAAGTTAAGGATAAATTCCATGTCTCAAAGAAATAAAACACTTTTCAAGTCAGTGGTGCCGAGTTTAAAATAAACCTCTACCAACGAACGCTACAATCAGCTCACGAAGGTTGAGTTAGTTTTTTTATTATTATTATTTTTCTCGATAATGTTGTTTTTCTTTTGTAAATAAGATTAAAATTAGCCAAGCAGGTGTTGATTTTAGATGTATTAAAATAAATCTAAACATGTCCAAAATATTGTAAAACTAAAAAAAAATTTTTTAATTTTTTTTTGTTCTTTTAATTGGTGAATACGACTACCTGCAGGTGTTAGTTAAATATTTTCTTC